ACCCATAACCCTTTAGGGAAAAAAAACTAGGGGCCTTCAAACCTGACAGCTTTAAGACTTGTGGATTTCAACTCCCAGAATTCCTCCTCCAGTCATGTTGTGGTGACGTCATCTGCGTGGATCTGCTCCATCTTCATTTTTTTCACTGGGGGCACGGCTGCCGCTGAAGATGCCGACGAGACCCCGCCACCACCAGAATAACTGCTGCCGCCTCCTCCTCCTCCTCCAACAGCACCACCACATTTGCTGCCCAGCGCTGCAGCTGAGGTGAAGCCACCAAAGCTCCCGCTGGTGCCCCTGCCCATGGCAGCGGTGGCAGTATCTCTCCCTCCACTCGGAGCACCTCAGCTGGGCTCCATGTTACCCCTGCCACTGCCTCCACCTCCACCATGCTTTTGAGAAGCCATGAGGCCTTTTTTTCCTGCTCTCGCCTCCTCCGCCGCCTTCCTACTAGCTCCCACGACCTCATGGCTCCTCAAAAGCACGACAGAGAAGGAAGGGGGAGGGATAACGCGGGGGCCAGCTCAGGTGCTCCATGTGGAGGGAGAGGCACCACTGCCACGGGCGGGGGTGCTGGTGGGAGCTTTGGTGGCTTCACCTCAGCTGCAGCGTTGGGCGGCAAATCCGGAAGTGATGTTGGAGGAGGAGGAGGCGGCAGCAGATATTCTGTGGTGGCCGGGGCTTTTCACTTCAGCCACAAGCAGCTAGGATTGGCCACCCACAAAGGCTTGCTTTGCTGAACATGGGGCAACTGATGCTAGTTTGAGTGGCCGCAACTGGCGCAAACTACCGTCAGTCACTCCCTGCTCATCAAAACAAGTCTGGGGAGGTCCTTTGCGAGTGGCCAGTCCTAGCCACCTGCAAAGGACTTGCCAGCGTTTGGTTTGCTGAACACGAGGTGACTGATGGTAATGAGCAGCGCAGCCGGCACCTAGGAGGTCCTCGGAAACTGGCTATGCCGTGTAAGCTCCTGTTGCCATCCCCACGCCCGTGCTAACCCTAGATTTTCTGAGGCCCTTCAGCTTCCAGAGCCTGTGACAGAAATCACTGCGTGGCAGTTAGAAACAGCTGTGTGGTGTTTTCTTGCCACGTGCATGGCTGCACAGCCGCTCAGTTTAGAGGGAACAGTGCCTTGGAGGTGTTCTAGTCCAACCCCCTGCTCAGGCTTGAAATCCTGTACCATTTTAGACAAATGGTTGTCCAATCTCTTCTTAAAAACTTCCAGTTTTGGATCATTCACAACCTCCAGAGACAAGTTGTTCCACTGATTAATTATTCTGTCAAGAAATTTCTCCTTAGTCCTAAATTGCTTCTTCCCTTGATTAGTTTCCATCCATTGCTTCTTGTCCTACCCTCAGGTACTATGTAGAATAGCTTGACTCCCTCTTCTTTGGGACACCCCTGAGATATTGGAACTGTTATCATCTCACCCCTAAGATGCAGGTCTGCCATTTAGTAGCTCCAATTATTTGAAATTCAATGTAAAAAAACCAAGGAAGAGCTGAAGATTTGACACATTCAATCTATATCCGGTGTTTTTTATTTCATTTTAAGCTTTTATATGTTAATAAACATAACATACAGTAAAGTCTGCTTTGAGCTGAAGTGTCTTGAGAATAAATGAGATAGACATTGAATTATACTTGGTATCGCCCTGAGGCACGTGGGAAGGAGGGTGGGAGGAATGTTACAGATGTACCAATCTAAAAAAGAGGAGGAAAGTCAATAGGCAATTTCCATCTCTCTTGGTGACCTGAGCAACTTTGGTTTTGATTCCATAGATAAATTTTAATGTATTACAACCAGTGGTGGGATTCAGAATTTTTTACTACTGGTTCTGCAGGCACGGCTTGGTCGGCATGGCATGGCTTGGCGGGTATGGCAGGGGAAGGATACTGCAAAATCCCCATTTTCTCCAAATCAGCTGGGATTTGGGAGAATAGAGAGAATAGATGGGGGAGTGGCCAGAGGTGGTATTTACCAGTTCTCTGAACTACTCAAAATTTTCGCTACAGTTTTCCAGAATTGGTCAGAACCTGCTGAATACCACCTCTGATCACAACCCTCAGATACTTTGATAGTATTTCCTGTGTCTCGTATATTTATTCCAGTGTGTGTGTGTGTGCATGTATGGAGGAATTCATCTAAATAAAATAAGTTAAATATTATATTTTAGCAGGGTTTCTAAAAATGGCAAAATCCCACATTAAAGCACAATAACCCAAATTTGGATACGAATCCAACAATGTGTAGAAAAATAAAAATTCATGCATATTATAAGTATATACTAGAATATGTTCATACATTTTGATCTATCCCCCAGCCTCCCCTGGGGAAGTCAAATGGGCAAGATGCCAAATATGGCATTTCAGAAGCAACTCTCACCCAATATACAAAAAGAAATGGGCTTCCAATGCAACACTTTTGCCATCTTGCCAATTTTGGACATGACACCCTCTGGTCTCTTCCTTATAGGAAGTTGCATTGTTTTGAAACTTTATAGTAAAAGAGAGAACCATAGAGGGAAAATGTTCTCTTCTGCTACATGAACATCAGATGATGAACAAGAGTTTAAATTCCCTATAATTATCCAATTGATGCTGATTACTTGGAACACTCCTCCAGATGACGAGAGATTTTTCTGGCAGAGGCCAACAAAAATAGGGAATCAAGACTGAAGAGTCTTTATAATTAGTGCTGGATGAATTGGTGCAGGAACCTTGATGTAATTGGGAGCACTGGATTTCCTTCCTTAATGAAGCTGGGATTCCTGGCCCTGGAAGTATAGCACAGCTTAACACCAACACTGGAATGATTGGAAATGAATGGTTGACTTTGGTGATAAGGAGAGGATATGAATGCAAGATGATGAATTCTATTCTCTTGATTTTCATCTTGTCTCCTTGGGCAGTGTGTCATATCCCAGTTCCTAAATGCATAATCGGTGTTCCTCCCAAAATCAACCATAAGTATTATCAGTCAGGGGATGTTATCATAGCTGGCATTACTTCGCAGAGCTACATGTTTTCCAACCCTCTCAATTTTGAAAGCCATCCTTCTTCTGAACTCCTTGATGACCTCATGTAAGCAACTGGTACCTTAAGCCAAATGTTTCAGGTTGTGGGTCAGCCCCACTGGTGGGCTGCTGCCGCTTCAGACTGGTTCTGGTGAACTGGTAGTTGCAACCTACAAATGGGGGTGGCATAACTGCCCTGGTGCTATGCTGTCCTATTTAGTCTTGTTTTTGATGCCACACATGTATGCAAGGTCCATGGATGAGCAAAGCGCATGAGCGGAATGCCAAGCACATGCGTAGATGGTGCATACTCTCATATTTTCAGTGATGGGCAAATCAGTTGTTAATTCATGTGCTGCCCACCTCTGATCAGCCCTTAGACTCAGGCAGCAGCTTTACTTTTCAATCAACGTAAGCATTAAGGCATATAGCATGATTTAAGATTTAATGGGTGGGAATTCTGATCCAATGTTAAGGACTCCGGGCAAATATGAAGTACATTAACATTACTTTAGACAATATTGTTGTGCAAAGTGCTCAATAGATAGAGATAAATGGGGTGCATTCCACCACCACCACCCCACACACAACTCTTATGACATATTATGATTCTCATTATCATTTTTCTATCATTCTGTCATCAAAGAGAATTGTTTGTTTTACTTTCCTGGTATAGCAAAGGAAGATGGATGAAGCTTTAGTTATCTTAGAGAAATATCCCATTACTAATTATAAACTGTTAAATGAAAGACAAATGAAAGCTGTCAAAAAATGTGAGTAAAACAATCCTTAACAGTACCAGGATGGGATCTGGATATTTGGCATGGAAAATGAACTTGCAATTAAGAAGCAAGTTTGGATGGCTAGGAAAAGCTCAGTGCCAAAACTACAATGTTCACATAATCTACCGGTAAATTTCCGTCTCTGCAATTAGGGCATGGAGTTCATGATGACACCATATTTTATGGTCAGATATGCAGTTGGTAGAACTCTTTTCAAGCAAACACAAGGTCAAATCCTGTTTTTAACTTTAGAATGCAAACGAGAGCAACAGAGATGATTAGGGGACTGGAGGCTAAAACATATGAAGAACGGTTGCAGGAATGAGATATGTCTAGTCTAATGAAAAGAAGAATTAAGGGGGACTTGAGAGCAGTGTTCCAATATCTAAGGGGTTGCCTCAAATAAGAGGAAGTCAAACTATTCTCCAAAGCACATCAAAGCTGGACAAGACGCAATGGATGGTAACTGATCAAGCAGAAGAACCAACCTAGAAATAAGGAGAAATTTCCTGATAGTTAGAACAATTAATCAGCGGAACAACTTACTTCCAGAAGTTGTAGATGCTCCATTACTGGAGGTTTTTAAGAAGAGATTAGCCAACCATTTGTCTGAAATAGTAATGGTTTGCCTGCTTGAGCCAGGGATTGGAGTAGAAGACCTCCAAGGTACCTTCCAACTCTGTCGTTTTGTTATTCTATTTCTCTCACTGAATTTGTTACAAACGTTAACACTGAGATGGTTTAGATTCTTTTTTTTAATCAGCACCTTGACAGATAGTCTAGAATCTGTATCTATCAGTTGTCAGATTAGTACATTGTTCTATGGCAAGCTAATCAAGGTTTTGCATTCATAGTTTGCTGAGCAAATTATAAATATCTTGTAACCCAGAACAGTTGCACACTAATTCTTGGTTAACTACTTTTTACTGAACTAGTTAGATTTATTCAATGTTCATATAATGGGCTTATAATGGAACTATGTCCCAAAGGTGCTTTTTAAAAAAGCAACTGGATTTTCTTTGTTTTTTCTTTTTCACTTCTCATTCAAGAAGGTTGTGTAGAACTGATTTACAGATTCCCTCAGCATCCTTTAAATAATGTTTTAAATATATCTCACTGAATTGCATGCATTTTAAATCAATTTTTTTTGAAAAAAAATTGGCATGGTGCTTTGAAGAATTATGAGCCACAACAAAGCCATTTTTGAAGGATCCCACTTTTTCATTTGAAAATGTTTGCAAATGTAAACTTGGGCTTCATTGCAGTTTCCCAGGTGTCTTGTGATCCAGTAACATTACAAAATATAGTACCTATATATTAAGGGAATGGGAATTTAACAAGTAAGCAGAGATAATACAATGGTGCAATTAAATCTCATTGCAGATTTCTAACTCAGACCTACCAGCACATCTTGGCTTTTGCCTTTGCTGTGAAAAAAATCAATGAAGATCCTCAGATGTTGAACAACATCTCCCTAGGTTTCAATATTTACAATGCATACTTCACTGGAAGTTTAACTTACCTGGCTTCGCTGGAGCTTCTCTCTACCTGGGCCAAGTTCATTCCAAACTATAAATGTGATTCCCAAAGTACTAATATGGCCACGATTGGAGGACCTGACTCCCAGGCATGCGTGTTCATGGCCACCATCCTCAGCATCTACAAAATACCACAGGTAAGGTAGATGTTTGGAGCATCAACTTGTTATCAAGCCCAATTGGTGTCTCTCTTGTTTTGTTCAGTAAAGGTTCCCTTCACACACATGTACTAGTTGTTCCTGACTCTAGAGGGTCCATTTCAAAGCTGTCTCCATTTCAAAGCCAAAGAGCCAGCGCTGTCCGAAGACATCTCCATGGTCATGTGGCCGGCATGACTCAATGCTGAAGGTGCACGGAATGATGTTATCTTCCCACCAAAGGTGGTCCCTATTTTTCTACTTGCATTTTTACATGCTTTTAAACTGCTAGGTTGGTAGAAGCTAGGACAAGTAACAGGAGCTCACTCAGTCATGCAGTGCTAGGGATTCAACCCGCCAAATTGCCGACCTTTCTGATCGACAAGCTTAGCATCTTAGCCACTGAGCCACGGCATCTCATTTGTTCAATAAGAATATTAATTACTTTGGGACAAAGAATGTAACACCATCGTAGAAGTTATGTTTTTTTCTGTTCCTTAAATTTCTGTCATGACTCGGAAGGGAAACCTTTTAAAAGTCATTGTTGTTAGTTGTGAAGTCATGTCCAACCCATCACGATCCCATGAACAATATTCCTCCTTCCTGTCCTCTACCATCCTCTGGAGTACATTTAAGCTCATGTCTACTGCTTCAGTAATTCCACCCAGCCACATCATTCTCTGTCATCCCATTCTTCTTTTGCCCTCAATCTTTCCCAGCATTAGGCTCTTCTCCAGTGAGTCCTTCCTTCTCATTAAATGGCCAAAGTTACACAATATTGCCAAAAGTATTCACTCACTTTAGTCACATATGAACTTATATTGACTCCCAATACATGTTCAGGTGCAATTCAAGTTTTCTGGTTATTGCCTTTAAAGCTTTAGATACCATAGAACCAAGCAACCTGCAGGACTACCTGCTCCCCTCAACCTCTGCCTGCCCCATGCAATCCCATATGGACATGCCGCATGTTCCAGATCTCTGCTGACTGATGTCTAATGGATGTTGTTGCAAATTCTCTACCCAATCCTCATATTAATACAGAACAGATAAATGAAAATCAGTCTGATAAAATCCAGACTAACTATAATTAGCACAAAGAATAAAGAAAAAAGTCATTAATTTGGAGAAGTCACATTATAACTGATATGCACCTGTAGAATAATAAAAATGAATGAAGCATGGAGTAGACTAAGGAAATATCTAGCCACATTATGGGCACTAATGCAGTGTCAATGACTCAACAATGAATCCAAAGGTGGAAAAATTCTAACAGCAATTCAGTCAGGAAGATATCATCACAGGTTAAATACTGTAAGTTCATATGCGAGTAAAGGCAGGTGAGCCCAATACTTGTGGTAATATAGTGTATTTGAGTGTCATCTTCAGGATCTGGCCTTCTAAAGAGCAGTCAGGGTTGATCTCCTCCAGAACTGAACAGTTTGATCATCTTGCAATCCTAGGACTCATCATGAAGTCAAGTCATATCAAGTCATTATGAATCAGCAGTTCAACACATCCATCCTGGAGTCCTGAAGAAGGGGTTATAGGGCAGAGCAGGAAGAATTTCCAAGGCTTCCACTTGTCAACAGAAGAAAAGGCTCTGGGAGTTTGCTGGAAACACATTTTAAAAGCAGCATTCACCAGAGGGAGCCAAAATCTGCACAATGACTGGCACGACTTTGCCTTCAAATTCCTGTATGCTTTATGCCTATCCAAATGTCACTATTAAACTTTGGGTGATTTATAATGACATATTGTGTTAATTCTTAGACTGCTTTCTTCTCTCTCTCTTTGTTTGTTTGTTTGTTTGCTTGTTTGTTTGTTTGTTTGTTTGTTTGTTTCTTTTTCGGATATTAGATTGAACCTATCAATAGTCTATCCTCATTCTGTCAAGTCATATTACTAAAATAAACATAGGACATCTAAATTAGAAAAAAAATGTGCTAGTAATGATCGTTCTACCAGAATTTAACTCCAAAAGAAACATATCCCAATTCTTAAAGAACTTGGAAACAACTTTGTGATTTCTGGCAACACTATTTTCAAAATTGTGTTAATTGTCTTGACTGATATAGTCTATATATTTACAAAGTATTGATTGAACTTAACAGATTAGTACTTTTGCCCATTACTTGCATAAAATATTGTTAAGATTCAGAGAATTCCTATCTGTAGTTATATTCAGTAAAATCCCTCTTTTCCCATTCTTTGGAAATTATTTTGGTGGAAATGTATCTCCATACAGAGATAAATAAATGAAGATAATTGGAATAAGATAATTGGAATAAGATAATTGGAATATTGCATTGGCATTGACATTGAGTTTTTATTGATTAATCCTTGGGCCATATCAAAGTGCAAAGTTCCAGAAACAAATTATTAGTAAAATTTGATAAAAGCAATTTAAAATGAAATTTGATAAAATACAATTTAAAATGGAATTGGAAATACAGTCAAAAATGAAATTTGAATAGAATACAATGATTTAAGATATAGATAAAATATGATAAAATTATATTTTGGTGTCACCCCTGCAATCTACCCCAATCAGTCCCACATATGCAGATCTCAACCGAACCATTTGTTTAAGTACTCTGCTGGAATAAGTTTATTGGTTTGTTATTAAGCATTTAATTGTATCCAACTCTTGGTGACTTTACAGGCAAGTGCTCTTCATGCTACTCTGTCAAGTGCAGTTTCTTTCAAATTGTTGTATGTTCAACTTTGCATCAGATTCAATGCTATCAAGCCAATATGGTCCCTTCTTCATTGCAACATGCAGAAGGAAACCAATGAAAAAATAAAACTTCCATAAAATCTTGGAAACTATAGAAAAGTAAAGTTCCACCCTAATAAATCTTCTCCCCACTTTTCATCTTCTTCCATCCTTTCCCAAAATATAAGATGGCTCTCCACGCTTCAGACCAGTGGTGAAATCTTAAAAAATTCCCTACCAGTTCTGTGAGTGTGGATTGGTGTGGTTATGTGACTGGGTGGGGGTGGCTATGTAGTCATGTGACAGGGGTGGGTGGGTAAAAAGACAGAAGCTCACTTTAACAATGTCCTGCTGGAACAGAGGGTTGGCCTAGATGACCTCCAAGTCCATTCCAGCCCTGGATTGCTGTGGTCTTTCAAGGTATCCTCTGAAGTTGAGTCTAGTGCCAGGTTTGTGGTCCTTCCTCCCTTTCCTTTTTCTCTCCCTCCCTCCCTCTTCTTTCTTTCTTTCTTTCTTTCTTTCTTTCTTTTTCAGCACCCCACCACCGATTTTTGACCTAGCATGCATAAGGGGAGCCTCCTGGGAGCAAAAACAGACCTACCCCACACTCCGCCAGCCCGTTTTTGGCCTAGCAGGACTCAGGAAAGCCTCCTGGGAGCAAAAACGGACCCCAAACGCTAAAAAAATGTTTTAAAAAAGTTCCTACCATCAGCTGATGTCAGAACTTTTTTTTACTTTGTTAAGCTTTTTTTTTTTTTACTACTGGCTCAGGTGAACCAGCCCAAACCTGTAGCATTTCACCCTTGCTTCAGACTATAAAATTGTACATAAGGTCATTTAGTTAGTCTTTTTTCCCCCTTCACAGCTTGGATATGGATCTTCTCCTGTGATTAGTGACCCATCCCAACAAGCCTTCTTCCAATGTATGTTCCCTAATATTAACCAACAGTACACAGGGATGATCCAGCTGCTTTTGCTTTTCACGTGGACCTGGATTGGTGTCATTTTCATACAGGATCACAATGGCCTCCGGTTTGTACAGAAGGAACTTCCCAAGTTTTCCCAAAGCGGCATCTGCTTCGAATTTATAGAACGATTGCCAACCCTATATTTTAAAACGGGCATTGATGAAATGGTGGAATCATGGGTCAAAATGTACCAAAAGATCATTGGCAGCAGAGCCAGTGTTGTGCTTTTACATGGTGAAATTCACACTACGATCTTTCTGAGAGCGTTTCCCAGAATTGCACAACTTGAAAACATACCAATGAAGACAAGTAAAGTCTGGATGATGACAGCAGAGATGGAGTTCACTTCCGTTCCTTTTCAGCGATCTTGGGATCTAGATATCCTCCATGGTGCCCTAGCCTTTGCAACTCACTCCCAGGAGCTGGTGGGTTTCCAAAATTTTATTCAGAGGAGAAACCCTAATGTGGAGACCAGAGACGGTTTTATTAAGGACTTTTGGAAACAGGCATTTGATTGTTCCTTCCCAACTTCCTCGGAAGAGAGCAATGCTTGGAATTGCTGCACTGGGGAGGAGAATCCAGAGGATCTTCCTAGATCTGTCTTTGACATGAACATAACTCCCCACAGCTACGCTGTCTATAATGCAGTCTATTCTGTGGCCCATGCATTGCAGCGCATGACTTCAGTAAAGCTGAAACACAGAATTATCTCCAGGAAAGAACAAAAGAAACTCCTGAATCAACATCTGTGGCAGGTAATGTCCTGCATACACAAACACAAAACATGTTGCTATATATGAATGACATGCTAATACATTGTAATCATTACCTAGGTATGATTCCCACTGTTAGGAAATAGCAATAGCACATACCACTTCACATTGCTTTTACAGCCCTCTCTAAGTGGTTTACAAAGTCAGCCTATTTCCCCCCAACAATCTGGGTCCTCATTTTACCCACCTCAGAAGGATGGAAAGCTGAGTCAACCTTGATCCTAGTGAGACTTGATTTGCCAAACAGCCGGCGGTCAGCAGAAGTAGCCTGCAGTACTGCATTCTAACCACTGGGCCACCATGGCTCATCTTACATATAGAAGCCAAACAGTTCAGCATCCCAATTTGTGGGGTAGTGCCAAATGATTTTTATTAATTAATTGTCAATGGATCTAAATACAAAGGGGTGTGATGCAATTACAGGAAGGACCAGAGGAAGAAAACTTCTTTCTGTAATAGACATCCTAGAGAGGAACAGCAGTATTCCAGGATCTTGATTTTTTTAATCTCTTGTCTGTCTTCTTCATCATCCCCTTTTTCTTCCCTTTGATATCATAGGTCAATGATGGCGAACCTTTTTCTTATGGCATGCCACAATTGTGCATGTGTGTGTGTGTGCTATTGAATGCACAAGCATGCCCACACCAATTCAATCCTCCCCGCCCATGTACACATGCATGTGCAACACCCCCCTGCATGCACTCATGAGCACTCCCCAGGCTCCGGAAGCTTTCCTGAAGCCTGGGAAGGCCAAAACAGCCTCCCCAATCCCCCCGGAAGCCAGAAATTGATAATTTCTAAACTTCTGGTTGTCTCATTGGGGTCGTTTTTCACCCTCCCCAGCCTCTGGAGGCTTTCCTGAAGCCTGGGGAGGGCGACAATGGCCTCCCCCAGCCCTCTGGAAGGCCAAAAACCAGCTGGCTGGCACGCGCATACATGCTGGAGCTGATGACTGGTGTGCCAGCAAATATGGCTCTGTGTGCCACCTGGAGCATGCATACCATAGGTTTGCCATCATGGTCATAGGTTATATACCTACCAGCAGTGGTAAACTTGTTTTGACTCTCTATAGCTTTATATATTTAGCCGTATAATAAGTAAATCAATAATGAGCATCTAATTAACTATAGTGTTGGATTATGATTGTTGATATTTCTATTGTGAAATATTTTCACCTTATATTATTTCAAATTCAAATTCAAATTTAATGAATTTGAATCCCGAAGGACTCCGGGTGGCTTACAGGGATATAATTCTAAAAAGGATAAAAGTTAAAAATAGAGAAGAAAAGCAGATTAAAAGAAAAAACACATCATGCACTCAATCTAGGCGGGGCTGGACCTCATTCATGAGGTCAACAGCCCCAGGTCTGCCGGAATAGCCAGGTTTTAGTAGCCTTTCGGAAGGCCGAGAGAGTGGGAAGGGTCCGGATCTCTGGGGGTAGATCGTTCCATAGGGTCGGAGCAGCTACGGAGAAGGCCCTCCCCCGAGGAGTCGCCAGCTGACATTGACTGGTCGACGGCACCCAGAGAAGGGCCATCCTGTGACATCTTATCGGCCGTTGGGAGATATGTGGCAGAAGACGGTCTCACAGATATCCGGGTCCAAGGCCATGTAGGGCCTTAAAGGTGATAACCAGCACCTTGAAGCGCATTCGGAGACTGATAGGGAGCCAGTGCAGCTCGCGGAGGATAGGTATAACATGGGTGTATCTCGGTACACCCAATATCGCTCACGCGGCTGCATTCTGGACCAATTGTAGTCTCCGAATACTTTTCAGGGGCAGCCCCATGTAATATTTGTATTTTTTTTTCAATAACATTGTTTTTTGTTGCAAATTTTAAATTCTTTATACAGAGTGTTGTCTGGGTTACCCCCCCCCTTTTACATTCTCTCATACATAATTTGTTTTGCATCACATTACCATTCCAATTTCAGCCCCATTATTTTCTTCCCATATTTCCATCTTAATTTAATTTTTTCTTAACACATAGGCAATATCATTTTTCGCTCTTTCAGAAAAATATACCAAATCTATCATTTCATTTTCTGTTTGTTATTCTAATTTCTATAGTAGCATATATCATCAAATTCAATTTTAATATAACAAGCATTTTACTTACTTGCTTATCCACATTCATTTGTATTATTTTTGTATTGGTGGGAAACATACAGAAGAGCTGTTCATTCTGCAGTGGATAAACAATAGTTAAAATGATGGTGGATGATTATTATTTTTGCAATAGTTTATTGGTTATATTTTTTTATCTTTTGAATTTAGTTTCACTACCATCTACAAAAAGTGTCATTTAACAATAGTGTTGGGGAATTGATTTCCTTTGATCAAAATGGGAGACTGGAAACAGGATTTGATATTATCAACTGGATTGCATCCCCAAATCTAAGTCTATATCGAGTCAAAGTGGGAAAATTTGATCTCAGAGCCCCCAAAGACCAAATGTTCAGTCTTTATGTTGATGCCATTAAATGGCCAGAGAGATTTAACCAGGTATTTTTCCATTTACATTTTAGAGATCATCTCATTATTTCTCCCTTTTCCAAATTCAATCACTGGACAATGAAATAGCTGTAAGAGTATGTTTGAAGTTTATTTCAAGAATTTTTAGTGACTCAAATCTTACCTGTCCAAAATCTACAATAGGGTGACTGAAGGACCTACCAAATTGTAATTCTTGGTACAAGTACTATAAATAATTACCATTGTATAATGGTTTGGTTTGATTTTAAATGTAAATATAGCAAGATTTTGAGGAAACATGTAACTACCATAGTATAACTCCAAAGTATAAGATGCACCTAGCTTTTGGGGAGGAAAACAAGAAAAAAAATCTACCTCTGCTTTTCTCTCTCTCTCTCTCTTTCTCTTTCTCTCCCTCCCTCCCTCCCTCTCTCTCTCTCCCAGCAATTTGCCTCCTTGCAGCAAACAGCAAACAGCCTGTTTCAGTTTAGCCTGGTTAGAACAAGAAAAAAAAATCTACCTCTGCCTCCCAGCAATTTGCCTCCTTGAAGCAACAGCATGTTTCAGTTTCAATTTCAACACAGCCTGATTAGTACAAACAGCTGATTGTCAGTTGGATCAGCCTCCTGGCGATCAGCTGTTTCAGGCTGCAGGGATTGCCATAGCCTATTGCCGTCTCTGTGTATAAGACACACCCAAATTTTCATCCTCTTTAATGGGGGGGACGACCTGTGTCTTATACTCTGAAAAATATAGTAATTTGCAACTGGTAATAATGGATGAGAAATAATGCCAAACTATTCCATTACGTAGTCATAGTACCTTATCTGGAAGGGGCAAATATGTTGATATTATATCTCTTTTTAATGTCCTTAAAGTTTCCAGTAATGGTTGATTGCGACTGAAAGAACAGAAAGAATTAATTTGACATGTCAACATTAGAAGCAATTTTATCTGATTATACCAGCACAAAGTCAGTTGGGTGACCCTGGGCCAGTTACACTCTCTCAGCTCCAGGTAAAGCTAAAGAATTCCCCTGTCCAGTCATGTCCAACACTATGGGGCAGTGCTCATTTCTGTTTCGTAACCGAGAAAGCCAGCATTGTCTGAATAGCAATAGCACGCAGACTTATATACCACTTTACAGTGCTTTACAGCCATCTCTAAGCAGTTTACAGACTCAACATATTGTCCCCAACAATCTGGGTCCTCATTTTACCAACCTTGAGCCAGTAATCATCAAACTGCTGGCAATCAGCAGAATTAGCTTCCAATACTGCATTCTAACCAATGTGCCTCTTATGGTTTGAAATTTCCATGCTCATGTGGCCAGCATGACGATACGCTGAGGCACATGGAACCCTGCTAACTTCCCACCAAAGATGCTCGGGTCTTGAACCCAGGCTGACAAGCTCAGTGTTTTTTAACCACTGAGCCATTGTACCTCTCATTCCTAGTAAGCAGAAAATGATAAGCTATGTTAGAAAGAAAGAAAGAAAGAAAGAAAGAAAGAAAGAAAGAAAGAAAGAAAGAAAGAAAGAAAGAAAGAAAGAAAGAAAGAAAGAAAGAAAGAAAGAAAGAAAGAAAGAAACTGAAGGTCTTGTCTAGGTAGTTATCAGAAATCAACACTGATGCTAAAGCAGATGCATACAAACCAGTGACGTGCAGTCAGGTGAGGCACAGCCTCACCGCTCTCATCATGAAAAGAAAAAAATGTAAAAGGAAAAAGGCAAGTGCTGAGGTGTTGCCTCACCGTGAATGACTGCCTAACTGTTTAAAAAAGCTTCTAAAAAAGCACCCTCTCCTATGAGGCAGGAGAATTGCATGCCTCATCTAGTCTGACTTTTTAGGCGTTTTATGATCATTCAAGCAAAGTTAAGCAAGGCTTAAAAGCCTAAAAAGTCCCGAGGTAGGTGAGGCACGCGGTCCTCCTGCCCCATAGTAGAGGGCGCTTGTTCTTCCTGTGACTCAACGGCACCGCCGCTACCCTTCTTCCCTTTTTTTTCCCTTCTCACTTGCGATACAGTGACAATAAAGGAGGAGCGCAGAGATGTACCTTTATCTCTTCATTGATTTCCCTTTTTACAGGATGAGTCAGCTTTCTGCTTCTTTTACTTTCTGGAAGTCTCACTTCTTTCTCCATTTCTGCCATTTATTTATTTATTTATTTTGTTTGGTGTGTGTGTGTGGCACACACATATGTGTGTATGTATCTACTTTGGTGGAGATGAAATGGCTGCTGATATTATTTGGGAAAAAGTTTTCGGGGGAAGGTTGTGGAGAGGAAGGGAAGGAGGACGGGGGTGGCTTTTAGCGCTGATTTGTTCCCCTCTTTCTCTCTCTCTCTCTCTCTCTCTCTCTCTCTCATTCTCTCCCTTCAGCTCTCCTTCATTTCTCTCTCCCTCTCCCCCTTCTCTCTCTAATTTGTTTCCCTCTCTTTTTTCTCTCTCCCATTCTCTCCTTCCTTCCTTCCTGCTCTCTTTCATTTCTCTCTAACTCTCTCTCTTTCTCCCCTTTTCTCTTTCACCTCTTTCTTGCGCATGCAAGCACAATACTCAGGATCATGGCGGTGGGGACAACGACTCCTTCCGCTCGAGCAACTGAGAAGTGAATACCTGGCTGTGCTGCGGAGAAGAGCCACGCTATGCAGGAGACTCCTTAATGCTAGACTCAGGTCAGCGCGAGCCGTGGTCCCCTTCATGTTGGCTCAGGAAGGAGAGGAATGGGACCGCGGCTCCCACTGATCTGAGTCTAGTGCTAAGGAGTCTCCTGCACAGTGTAGCTCTTCTCTGCAGTGCAGCCAGGATTCACTTCTCAGTGGCGGCAACGGAAGGATTCGCTGTCCCTGCCGCTGTGATCCCGGCCCAGAAAAGTATTTTGTTTGCACATGCAAGGAAGAGATGAAAAGAAAAGGGGAGAAAGAGAGAGAGCGAGTCAGAGAGCAAAAGAGAGAGAGAAATGAAAGAGAGCTGGAAGGAGAGAATGGGAGAGAGGGAAAAGACAGGAAAACAAATTAGAGAGAGAAGGGGAGAGGGAGAGAGAAATGAAAGAGAGCTGAAGGGAGAGAATGAGAGAGAGAGAAAAGAGAGGGAAACAAATCAGGGGGAAAGAAATGAAGAGAAAAGAAAAAAAGAAAAAAAAGAGAAGAAAGAAAGAAACTTTCTCAGACCTATGACAAAAGCAATGGCAAGCTAGATCTCTTGCCAAGAAAACTGTAGTTTGCCAGAAGGCACAAACTGGAAGCAAGTCTGGTTTTTTAAAAAGAAAATAACAGAGATGGCAAAAAAATGCATCTGAAAATAAGATTATTTATAATTTTGGATAATGTATTATATTGTCAAACTGAAAAGGCTTTTGATACTTAATTGTCATCATCATCATCATCATCATCATCATCATCATCATCATCATCATCATCATCTCTCTCTCCTCCGCTCCCCCCTCGGAGTAACTGTCGTCCCTTGTGGAAAACACAACAAGGAACTCCTCGGCTCCTTGCTCCCCCCCATCTCTTTTTTTGTTGTTGTTGGCCACTGGTAGGTCACCGCATATGGTTCTCGGCGATACGCTCTTGCCCGCCACCCCTTCGAAACACACAAGGATGGGACAAAACAGTGCAGATCCTTCTATTAAAACCCCCTGTATTACAAAGGCATTTTAATAAAAAGATTGTGATGACGTCAGTGCCTCACCAGCCATAAACCTCAATGCACATCACTGATACAAACCAGGATCAACCCAGATTTGATTATTTCACATTACTCATTAGCTCAATAGGTTTTACTAAGAGTTCAAGCTCTTGCCACTTTTATTTCCACCCAGGTACAGCCTCGGTCTTTGTGTAATGAATTCTGCCAAAAAGGTTATAGCAAAACCAAAAGAGAAGGAGAATCATTTTGTTGTTATGATTGCCTTCCGTGCCCAAGAGGGAAAGTTTCAAACCAAATGGGTAAAGTACAATGCCCACTAAACCTTAATTTATTGATGATGGTATTATAACTATAATTCTTTATGTACAAATCAGGTTGAATTGAAATAGGTCCGTGCTGCCCTGTTGTGATGATGTAAGCTCTTGGCTTTTTTTAATGTTCTGCCGATTGTCACTCCACACATACAATGAGTCAGTTTGCACCCCCATCAGTGCATTGTTCCTTTCAACATTTGCTGTTCTTGGTGGATTCCTGTGGGGCTAAGTATTTGACCAAATCCTTTACCCACATCAAAGACATGTGAAAACTGAGATTCATATTTTCCATTAATATGGCTGATTGTTGAAACTACTGGTTCACCCAAACCAGTACTAGTAGTTCTGATGATCAGCTGTGCAACAATCAGTTGTGCTGCATGATTTAGAAATCATGTGGCACAGCTCATTGTCACACAGCTGATCATCAGAACCAAACCAGTAATAAAAAATGCTACCGGTTTGCCCAACTGGTAGCATTTTTTTTTACTAACAGTTCACCCGAACTGGTAGCATTTTTGACTACCAGTTTGGGCAAACAGGTCTGAACTGGTAGCAGTTCACCCCTGCTTTATTCCCAACAGAATATTGCAAAATCCACAAAATGTTAAGTGCAAAAGGAAGATGGTACAGGTGGTTAAGCTTCAGAAATTCCAACCAAGGTTTGGCATGGACTTCTTTAGCAAGTTGTGTGAATGAAATCATTCACAAATCAAACTCAGAAATATTAGGGACACACAGTCTACAAGTGAAGTACAGATGAGATCTGAAATCCTAACTTGTGGGGAAAAAGTTGGCTTCGTTGTTGGATAGTTTTGAATACACCCTCTTTCTATTAACTTTTGCATATGGGTCAGCTGGATAGATGACATTTATCTTAATTAATCCCCCAGAGCATCAAATAAAAAGGAGAAGCTAAGTATACACTAGAGACATCTTCTACGGAGAGCAGAAGGAAAGGAACTATGTTTCAACTCTCCATGTTTTACAGAAGATCAGTATTTGGCCTAAAATGGATGCATATCTCTAAGGAACAATGTTTGATGTTTCTGAAATGTTTATAAACATTCAAAATTCAGCAGTAGTCAAAGATCTGACTAGAGGGAGATTGGCTTCCACTTTCTATCATACTGAAGTAGTAAATTGATTAGGGTGATGGACAAGAAACAGAGAAATCAGATTCAAGTTTACCATGAAAATTCAATGTTGACTTTGGCCCTACCAACTCCCTCAATTCAATGTATCCCACAAGGATTATTTTTGTATGCAAAGTAGATTAACAGAGGGCTAGAGCAGAGCTCTTCAAACTACGGATGGGTGAGCAGGTGGCCTTCTTCCTCCTGACTGGACTAGTCTTCAAGTTTCAAGCGACAAGAGATGTGTTACTTTTGGGAAGATCATGGAATTGTCCCACCTCCCACTGGCCAGCTGTTTTTTGGAGCACTGCTCATCAGATTCCCACCTCCCAGTTCAGGGGTTTCTTCTACCACCACCACCCCAAGGGGGGAGGGAGAGAGAGAGAGTCAGAGAGTCAGAGAGTCAGAGAGAGAAAGAGAGAGGGGGGAGAGAGAGAAAGAGAGAGGGGAAGAGAAAGAGGGGAGAGGGAAAGAGAGAGGGAGGGAGGGAGACAAACATAGAGGGAGATAGACAGAGAGAGGAGGGGGAGAGACAGAGAGAGACAGAGAGAGAAAGAGGGAAAGAGAGAAAGAAAGAGAGACAAGAGACAGATAGACAGACAGACAGACAGAGACTTGTTGATTGTAAGTTCCTTGAGGCTGAGAAGAATTGCTGCTGAGAAACTGAGTTTCCTGAAGTGGACCACTAGACTCCTAAACAACTTAAAAAATGATCTAGTGAAAAAAAAGTCAACAGAAAGAGCAACATGCAAACAAAATCAAATAAAACACTCCCAGCAGCAAAACAAGTTAAAGTTTAATTTATGTGTATTATTTAATGGACTGCCAAATTGGCCACACCTACCCAATCACATGACCACCTAGCTAAGCCCACACAGCTGGTTTGGCTGCCCAACAGTCTGAGGGACCATGAATTAGCCCCCCATTTTTAAAGGTTTGAGGACCTCTGGGCTAGAGGTTTTGCTTAGAGCTTCTGAAAGAAAGCTGTGATATAATGATGAATGAATCTTCTTTCTTCTATATATGTGTGTGTGTGTGTATATATATATATATATATATTTATATATATATATAAATAAATAAACGGGGATCGTATAATTGTCTTTGGCATTCATATTAGTACAAAACTTTTCCTCTTAATCCTAAACACCAACTTCTAAATAGACTTTTTCCTTTTCAGATATGGATTCTTGTTACCAGTGTCCAGAGGATCACTATGCCAGCAAAACCCAGGATCAGTGCATTCCAAAAGAGATCAGCTTCCTATCTTTCCATGAGCCTTTGGGGATCACCTTGGCCATTGTTGCTCTTTTATTTTCCTTCATCACAGCTCTGATCCTCGCAGTCTTCATTCAGCACAAGGATACTGCCATTGTCAAGGCCAATAACCAGGGCCTCAGCTATGCCCTCCTGGCCTCCCTTCTGCTTTCCTTTCTCTGCCCTTTGCTTTTCATTGGTCGGCCTCAGAGAGCAACTTGTCTCCTCCGCCAAACTGCTTTTGGCATCATCTTCTCTGTGGCGGTTTCTTGTGTGGTGGCCAAAACCCTCACTGTAGTCCTAGCTTTCATGGCCACTAGGCCAGGCTCTCAGATGAGGTCATGGGTGGGGAGAAGGCTGGCACTTTTTATAGTGCTTTCCGGCTCTTTCATTCAAACTACTCTTTGCACAGTGTGGTTGGTGAACTCCGCTCCCTTCCCAGATCTTGACATGGGCTCTCTGCCTACAGAAATAGTCCTGGAATGCAATGAAGGCTCCACTGCCATGTTCTACGTTGTCCTGGGCTTCATTGGCCTCTTGGCCATGATCAGCTTTACAGTGGCTTTCCTTGGCAGGAACCTCCCAGACAGTTTCAACGAAGCCAAATTTATCACCCTCAGCATGCTTCTCTTTTGCAGTGTCTGGATCTCTTTTGTCCCAGCCTACCAGAGCACCAAAGGAAAATACACAGTGGCTGTGGAGATCTTCTCCATCTTAGCCTCAAGTGCTGGATTACTGACCCTCATTTTCTCCCCCAAACTTTACATCATCTTGATAAGACCTGAGCTGAATAACAGGCAACAACTCATGAGAAAACCCCCCATGAAGTGAATTATAGGAATCAGACACATTGCAGCATAAACAACAAAATTTAGATTAGTGAAAAACCACATTACTGTGGTTTCAAGGAATGATAACTGTCTTCAGCTTTTAGTAAAACAGAGCAATTGATTATAAATGTAACAACAAAATTAAAATGAAAATGGGTGTTCCTTCTTATTCAATGTGTCCTTAAATAATATCAATTCTATGGATTCTTATGCAGCCCTTCATAGTGCCATTTGTTTCAACTTTATAAATTATTATTTTGAAGTTTGATTAAGGTTTACTAAGGGAAAAATAGAATAAAAATTAAAATTAAACCAAGAAAAGAGGGGACAGGATGTATGATGGAAAAGAAAAAAAAAGGAGAAAAAAGTGTTTATTTCCAACTCTTCCCTACACAATAAAATATCCATGCAATTGTGACCTCATGGTTTTACACTACCTATAATTATTACAAGCCAATTCTATAACTACACAATTATTAAACCTTCAAACTAAATTCTGAACTTCATTTTTGAAGCCTAAAACCAAAAGCAATATCCCAACCAAAACAAGACCACATAAAATCTTTGTTTAAAACAGATTACCTTGCCATCTTAAACAATGTCCCATCATTTTTTCTTCTCCCTCTGTTGTAATAAGTGAAATATTTTTCTATTTACACTAATTAATCTTTGTAAGGTATCATGATTTATTTTAATAAAAATTACCTATATTGTTTCAAATTCCTTAACTCTAAAGGGAAAATCCTTTTATATGGCTTTTAAGTCTGTAAACGCTTCATTAAAAATTTCATATTTATAATTAAAATCAATTAATTCTAATGCAACTTTTTAATTTTAATTAAATATTTAATATATATTTTTTAGATTTAATTTAATTATTCTTTTAATTGACATACATTTAAATTTGCTTCCAGTGATATTTTGTAAACTTGAGGAATTACTAAAAAGGAAGAAAGAAAGAAAGAAAGAAAGAAAGAAAGAAAGAAAGAAAGAAAGAAAGAAAGAAAGAGCCTAATCTATTTTCATACCCACTTTGTACACAAACAAAATGCATTAGCACTTTCTTTTAATTGCATATGTCTCCTTTAAGACCATTGCTCTACAGAGGATGTCATGGGGTGATTCTGGAACGCTCCACTAACCCAGGAGAATTATATAAACTTAATGAACTCAGTTCCCTTGTTTATATGATAATACACTTTAAGTGAGCCTCTATGACTGTGATGGCGAACCTACAACACACATTCCAGAATTGGCATGCAGAGCACTTTCTGTGGGCATGGGGCACCATCCCCAGCTGCTTTTCTGGGTCCTGTCACAAACACACATGCCAGCCACCTGGACTTCATGTGAACCAGCTGAATCGCACCCTTAGAAATCACCCAGAAGAAGGAACACATTTAAGAGTTTGGGAAAGTATAAAAAAATCTGGCATTGTGAACTATAGGGAACAAATTTAGAGAAAAGAAGTTGATCTAGATTGATGCATTGAAAAGACAACATATTAAACTTTCCTGGGTATTTTTTCTAAGTGACAAAATGTAATTTGTTAGGGAACAGCTGGAGAAGACCAAGAAATCAGTTATTCAAAGAGAGGCTGGAGTTTTGGGGAGGAAAGTGGAGAAAAAAGAAGAAACTTCAAAAGACTAGAGAGAATTGGGAAGATTTTCCTCTCTATTCTGCTATATGTTCTGCTGGCTAGTTTACTCTTTAATTTTGATTCAAGGGAGGTAGATTTTTACAAATTTAAAGCACATCTGCCTGTTACATTAAAAAAAAAATACCCCAGCAGCACCTAAAGAGCTATACTCATATTTGGGTGAAGTCTGAAGTCATTGCACGGATTACAGCTTTAAAAGGGGGAAACATTAGTAACATTTGAGGCTGAAGATGAAAGATTTGGACTGATTTTCACATCAGTACAGATTCAGTCCTTAGCTGAGACCATTTTTTTCTGTTCCCTAAATTCAAATTCCTCTGGAAGAATATAAAGAATTTCAAAAAAGGAAATACAGTGGTGAGGAGCAGGGGTGGACTTCAACCACCTCAGCCCTGCTCGGGGGAAGTGGTAGGGACAATTTGAATTGGTTTACAGAGCTGGAAAAAATAGCCCCTGGCTGGCCCCACCTACATCCTCTCCCATGCTGGCTGGGGAATTCTGGGAGTTGAAGTCCAAGTCTTAAGTTGCCAGGTTTGGAGGCCACTGACTTAAAGGAAAGACCCAACTGAGGCAACTGAGCTGACTCAGTTATAGTCTTCCCTTGGAGACACAATTCCCTAATTTCCCTATGTATATAATATGTATGTGTGTATATATACATATACATATTAATCACAGATAAGAGTCTTATCAAACAGGAAAACAATACCCCTCTATCAGTTCTTGTCTACTTTATTAAGTACACAGAAACTCCTGTTAAGCCCGAGGTTACGAGGATGCTGGAACATGTAGTTTAATAACAAAGGGGAAAGCACCAGATTGGGGAAATAAGTAGATAGATCGGGGTGAAAATCAAAGAGAAGATATACCAATTATACACAAAACAATAAAAGAGTTACACAAATACTTACATAAGAGCAATAAGAGTCTTATTACTCTTATGTAAGCATTTGTGTACCTCTTTTATTTTATTTTATTGTGTATAGAATATTTTAATGGTTTTATTTTATTTTATTTTATTGTGTATAGAATATTTTAATGGTTTTATTTTATTTTATTTTATTGTGTATAGAATATTTTAATGGTTTTATTTTATTTTATTTTATTGTGTATAATAATTAGTATATCTTCTTTTTGTAGGTCATTAAGGACAAAGAAGTGACATCAACTTGGTCATGCCCACCCACCCAGTCACATGACCACCAAGCCACACCCACAGAGCTGGTATGGAAAATTTTTGAATTTCATCTCTGGTGAGGGGAAACAAAAAATAGTTGAGATAGTGTTCAATTGAAGGGCTGTGCCTTCTTTTATGTGTTTGTGTAGACAGCAAGCACAAAAATGCTTGAGGTGGCACCTTGACTTTTTGGGTCCCCGTGGACCTTGGAGACGGAGGGAGGGAAAATGAAAGGGATGGCAAGAGAGAATTCCTCTCAACTTATTCATGAGAAAGAGGAATAGCTTGCTGAAATATGCAATTAAGTTGTTTTCTCCCACAATATCACAAAGAACTTGCAATATTGCAAAGGGAATGATCTTTCCTGTATCAACAGGACAAGGGTAACTCCTATTTCGCTTCCCAAAGGACAACTAATACACCTTGGCAGAAAAGAACCAAGATCAAAGTATGCTACAAAATGATGTTTTGCAATTCAAGAAAAATACCCAATGCAGATTGGTTGGGGACTTTTCTCCAATCATTCCCAGTACACACAAAAAAGAGTTAGAGGGTACTAAAGTCAGCCAGAACTCCTCCAGGACACTTTAGACCAGATCTGATGTCCAGAAGAAGTTGTTTCTACCTGATGCCATTCTACCTGATATTTCTGCTACTACCTGAGACGGTGTCCAATGTCCCAGTTGGTACATGTAAGATCTATTGCCCTTTGCCAATACGCCACCAGTATTATCAGCCAGGGGACCACATTATTGCTGGCATTATCTCACAAGCCTACATATTTTCTGACCCCATGACTTTCAATCAACATCCATCTCACAACCTCCTGGATGAGATTGGGTAAGCCAAGGTTCTTGTTAATTGTACATTTTCCATAAGGTGTTTTCTTACAATAAAGTGGATTTTTTATTTTAAGCAGGCAATTCCACCAAGAGAGGAAGATTGGGAACATGAGCTAACATAAGTGCTAGGACTATTCACATTTTGCATACTAGTAGTCTGAAAATTCCTGTTGCGGTAGTCAGCCCATATCCACGCCACATAACATTTGTGCCAGATATCTATCTATTTATTTATTTGGTTTGTCAGACATGTACAAGATAACGGGTATAAGTATAAATATGGATATGAACAAAGGAAGTAAGTACAAACAAATGGGGACAGTAGGACAGGGACGATAGGAATGCTGGTGCGCTTATGCACGTCCACTTTACAGACCTCTTAGGAATGGGGTGAGGCCCACGGTAGGCAATTTGAGGTTGAAGAGGGGGGTTTGAGGATGTACAACGGAGTCAGGTAGAGCATTCCAGGCACTGATCGCTCTGTTGCTGAAATCGTATTTTCTGCAATTGAGTTTGGAGTGGTTTACCTTGAGTTTGTATCTATGGTTTGCCCGTGTATTATTGAGGTTGAAGCTGAAGTAGTCATTGACAGGTAGGACGTTGTAGCAGACAATTTTGTGTACTATGGTTAGGTCAGACCATAGGCGGCTCACATCAAAATGTTCTGTTTCCTGGATTCAACATGTTGGCTATTTAAGAGCTTTCTTAAAAGAAATATATATGATAACACTGATTATTTGTCCACCAAATATCAGCTGCCTATATCATGTGGAAGTCTACCATCAATTTTAGTAATCCTTCCTATGAATATGAGCTAGTTTCATAAACAAATAGATACTTTAAGATATCTCTGACCTTGGATATTTGCCCTGGATGACTCCTATTGACTTCTATAAATAACTGCACTCATTCAGCTTGTAAATCACACTGCAGGTTTGTGACTCAGATTTATCAGCATATCTTGGCCTTTGTATTTGCCATAACGGAGATCAATGCAAATCCTCAGATATTACCCAATATCTCCCTGGGCTTCCACATCTATAACAGCCAATTTGGTGCCAGTTGGACTTACCTCGCCTCACTGGAGCTTCTCTCCACATGGAGCAACTTCTTCCCTAACTACAAGTGTGACAGTAAAGATGACACTATTGCAGTCATTGGAGGACCTAACTCTGATGTGAACTTCTTTATGGCAACCCTTCTGAGCTTCTACAAGGTACCACAGGTAAGATGTTTGCATAGCGCTTAGTGCCTTAAAAAAATAAAAGTGTGTCCCTTGATCCTTGATGAAGTTTGTTTGCTTGTTTTTAAATTTTCTTTTGTTTACATTTATTAGTGCTTAATAAACATCATGTTATCTGGATATTTAATTAGCTTAACATGCTAGGGAGGGCAGACATTTTTTATCTAGGCTTTCTCCTTCAGGACACTAATCATTGGAGCTACCGGTTCGCCTGAACCGGTCCAAACTGGCTGAATCCCACCCCTGAGTGGTATATAAGTTAAATAAATAAATAACTTTGAAAGTTAAGCATGAGACAGAGCTTTAAAACCTAGAAGCTGGAATTAACCTCCAGACCTTCCTTTGGCAACAAAACGAAACTAATGTCAGCCACTGCCTGCGGCCTTATGAAGCTAGGATGGCATTTTTAAAAATGCTTCTACACAAGGAAGAATATCTTCAGATCAGTGGTGGGTTACGACTGGTATGCCCCACTACAGACGTACTGGTGCCTGCTGGGAGCACCGGGTACCGTTCTGGTATGGTGCTCCAGAGGGCCCACCCACTCACACTACTTAGTGGTATTTGAGGTTTTGGGGGCTTCCACGCACACGCACGGAGCGTACAGCACCCACGCAACGCTCTGCCGAACAGCTGGAGTATCCCACCCAGTGGTAAAATTAAAAGTTTTTTTTACTACTAGTTCTGTGAGCATGGCTTGGTGGGTGTGGCAGGGGAGGATACTGTAAAAGCTCCATTACCACCCCACTCTGGGGTCCGCCAGAGATGGTATTTCCCAGTTCTCCAAACCACTCAAAATTTCCACTACCAATTCTTGAGAACCTGTCAGAACCTATTGCATTTCACTACATACTTAGTGTTCTCCCCCTTTTCTTTATAGCTTGGATATGGTTCTTCACCTTTGATTAATGACCCATCCCAACAAGCCTTCTTGCAATGGATGTTCCCTAGTAGGAACCAACAGTATGTTGGGATACTTCAGCTGCTTTTGCTTTTCAAGTGGACCTGGATTGGTGTCATTTTTATGGAAGATGACAATAGCCTCTGGTTTGTACAGAACGAACTTCCCAAGTTTTCCAAGGGCGGCATCTGCTTTGATTTCATAGAACAATTTCCACCATTATATCTGAAAACTGGCATACATGAAATGATAGAATCCTGGGTGCTTGTATACCGACTGGCAATTAATAGCATGGCCAGTGTTGTGTTCATACACGGTGAATTTCACATTGTAATCTTTATGAGGATGTTTCCCAGAATTTCAGAAATTGAAGACATACCAATGAAGAGAGGGAAAGTCTGGATGATGACTGCACAGATGGAGTTTGCTTCAGTTTCCTTTCAACGCTTTTGGGATCTGGATATCCTTCATGGTTCCTTAGCCTTTGCAACGCAATCAAAGGAGCTGGTGGGTTTCCAAAATTTTCTTCGGATGAGAAACCCTAACATGGAGACCGGAGATGGTTTTATTAAAGACTTTTGGAAACAGGCTTTTGATTGTTCCTTCCCCACTTCTTCAGAAGAGGAGAATGCTTGGAATCGCTGCAGTGGGGAGGAGAAACTAGAAGCTCTTCCTAGGTCTGTCTTTGACATGAGCATAACTCCCCATAGCTACAGTGTCTACAATGCAGTTTATGCTGTGGCCCATGCAATGCAGTCCATTACTTCTTTAAAGTTCAGACAAAGAACTACGTCAGAGAAAGGACGAAAGAATCCAGTGCTGTGGCAGGTAATGTTGTGAATACATGAACACAAGAAAGATAGGTTGTCCTATCTTGCTCCTCTATCAAAGCTGATGTTGTGGCCCACAGCTGTTTTCAGGAACGCCTCCACAGCTTGGGGAGGGCCAAATAGGGGACCAATGCACAAACTGGAAGTTCAGAAAGATTTGCATTGTGGGTGTGGGGCACATGCGCTATTGCGTGCATGCATACAATTTTGGTACATGTTTGCAAAAAAGTTCACCATCACTGGCTTAGAGGAAAGGTCATAGGAAATGAATTTCATTTTATGGGAAGGATAACTGAGTTATAGGGACCCCCAAATAAGGAAAAAGAAAGAGGGGATCCTCCTATCATCTGGAAACTCCAAAAACAGAACATTGCATTTCTTCTTTATTCATTTATTGCCACTCAAGCTGGTCACTATGATAGGTAATTCTCTTGATAGCTGAGATTGCTTGATTTATTTACTATCTCTCCATTTTATTTTTGTCTTTGGTGGTGTAAACTGCATAGTTACAGCTGAGAGTGTTCGTGGTTGTATCAGGGTAATGATGATTTAAAGCTGACCAGCTAATTTAAAGCTGTTGCAATTGTAAAGCTGATGAAATGTAAGGCTGGGCCAATGAAGATGAATCCACATTGGCATAGCCAGTTTAAGACCATGAATGGGTTCACGTAAGTCTTTACCACTTTAAGAGGTGTCTATTTAAGGGAGGCCATGAGAAGGTGTATCTATCTCTATGTGTATCTCTCCTTGTGTCCGATATCCAGTGCTGACTTCTCCGTATAGAGTTAAGAAGAAGATTGACTTGTCAGTTACCATGTATATTTTTGTATATGTTACAGAGGTGGGTTGCTACCAGTTCAACTAGTTTGGCCCAGATCAGCTGAACCAGTAGTAGTGATGGTGGAAGTCTTCCCCTACCTGCCTGGGCGCTTCTGTGCATGCACAGAAGTGTTGCACACATGCATGAGTGTGCGTGGGAGCATGCACAAACCAGTAGTAAAAAAAAATTAGCAACCCACCTCTCATATGTTATATATAAACCACTGTTAAATGTATAAGTCTCTGTGTGCTGTGTGTTGCTCCTAGGTTTTCTCCTAATAGTAGTCACATTGCAAATGCTCTGATAGTTTGACTCTATTCTGCTTATATTTTTCATCATATTATAAGTACGTTAATATTGCCAGACCAGGTCAATTGTGGTTTTGAATAGTGAATAGTTTGAATAAGCATTGCTAATTTTGGCTTCTCAAATATTCATACCTTGTAACATATGACAGTAGTTGAATAGTTTTGGTCTAACTATGTCGCTTATTTTTTTTTTTTGTTCCGCTATGAAATTAGTTCCACCACTATCTACAAAAAGTCTCATTTAACAACAGTGTTGGAAAAATGATTTCCTTTGATCAGAATGGGAACTTGGAAGCAGGATTTGATATTATCAACTGGGTCACATTCCCAAATCTAAGCCTACATCGAGTCAAAGTGGGAAAATTTGATTCCAGAGCCCCCAAGGAAGAAGCATTCAGGGTTTATGTCAATGCCATTAAGTGGCCAAGGAAATTTAACCAGGTATTTTCTATATAAAGTTGGGGTCCATCCCTTTGGTCCAGGACGCAGGTAATGATAATAACCCTGCGGTCATATTAAGGCAATTAGTTGAATTCCCTTCCAGATTTTCATATGTCTTAGATCCAGAGGTGGGCATCACATACTGTAACAACCGGTTCACCCAGCACCAGAAATGTAAATGCACGCTCACGAGCACACGCATGCAGCATCCAAACACACAGCATTTCGCTTGCGTGTGCCTTCCGTGCATATATGCAGTGTCAAAAAAAAAACCACAGCAATTTGCTCATGCATATCTTCTGCACATGCGTGGAGTATCAAAAACACAGTGATATAGAATGGGATTGTACGTGGGCAGGGGTGGCCACATGGGCCTACCTGTAGGTCACAACTACCGGTTCACCCGAACCAGTCCGAACCAGCAGCAGCCCATCACTGCTTAGATTGTATCCAGGCATACAATCTAAGTCATATCCAGGGTGATTTGAATACATTTTTTTTCGTTTAGTTATCTGCAAGATTGCAGTAATGGCTTTTAGGTGAGGTGGAAAGAATAAATGTATTGATCACTGGAGACACTTACTCTGCGTACATGACTTTGTCAAACTACTGTATGATTCCAGTCGTCTAATAGGAACCAATACTATGTGGCTATCCCAATGCAGCATTTAAGTCGTTCTGCATTGTCTGCTTCTCTTTGTGCCTAGGCTCAGCCTCTGTCATTGTGTAATGAACCCTGCCGTAAAGGTCACAGCAAGAGCAAGAAGGAAGGGAAGCCATTTTGTTGTTACGATTGCCTTCCATGCCCAAGAGGAAAAGTTTCAAACCAGATGGGTAAGGATATCATGGACGGAGTTTGAGTTTGGAAATAGGTGGAGGCATTTATAAATCTCTCTATATAAAAATGTGTGTGTGCATGTATGCATGCCAGGGGTGGGTTCTGGCTGGCGTTACTGCCAGTTCACTTGCGTGTATGCGGCATGTGAACGCTGGATGCACACTGCGCGCGCATGTGCAATTCAATGGAAATTGTTCTGCGCATGCGCAGAACTCAAATACAAGATGGTGGTGCTGACGATGGCTACTGGGGAACTGGTTCAGAGGTGTGTCCAGCCTGGGGCACTGCCGGTTCTGTGACCCAGGCCAGCATACCACTACTGGTTCGGCCGAACCAGTCTGAATGGGTAACAACCCACCTCTGGTGTTTGTCCGTGTGTGCTCCAGCATAACTCTGGAATGCCTCAAGCAATTTCAACCAAACTTGGTACACAGATGACTTTCTCTCTGGAGTCAAATACTGTGGGGAAAAGACACTCCTAACATCCTTTTGGGTGTGTATTCTGTTAAGATACAGCCTGTTGTGCCCTAAAATGGCTTCGACTGAACAGCATTGTGGAGTTGTCATGGTAATGGCTTCACAGTACTCCAAAAGTGGGCTCCCTCTGGTAAGGGGAAAATCCAACATTAGAAATTTCATTTGGTCTGGACATTTTCCCCCTATAAATAAATACTTGGGCAACACTGGGTTATTGGGTAGTCTTCACATTAAAAAATCAGGTTGAATAGAAATTGGTCCTTTCCTTTGTATAGATGCCAGAGACATCTTTACCATCCATCTTCACCAGCCAATCAGATAGAGAAGTAGAGTTTCTATTGCAAAAGTACACTGTGGCTTTCATATATTACTTCATCCTTTTAGGCTCCTTTTTGATCAGGGCTCTTTGTTTTGGGATTGAAGAGTTAATTGAGGCTCCTTGCAGGGAACTCAGAGACTGCTATGGCTTGTGAATCACCTATGGATGTGTGACCTGGAGCTTTGTCAGTGAATGCCATGTATTCCTGCTTTTCTGAAGAAAAGGGGGTTTCTCCTCATGAGTAAGCTGTTGAATGCGGATCGTGAAGTCTGGGTCAGAACACTCCCCCATTCATCTCAATGGGTTCTTGTTCTAGTGAAAGCAGGACAATAGAGGGCTAGATGTGTTTCCTAAAGCTTCTGAAGAGTGCGTATAAACTGAATGCATGAACAGCAATCAAATGAATGTTAAGCCCTGCAATACAGCTAATGAAAAGACAGTTGCTTCAGAATCAGGCACATGTTTTTAGAACTCACATTATGGATGGCGCGCTTATCTTTATCTTAATTCTGTACTTCTAGATAAGGAAAGTTGTATTCTTTTCTTTTCAGACATAGATTCTTAGTCTGAATATTTTTATTTCATTTTCATTTTCATTTTATACAATCACTTATATACTGTGCATAAAAAAAAGAAAAAGGGAAAAAAAAAACCCCAACATAACACTTCATTCCCCCATACACCCTCTCTTCTCCCCCTCCAACTTTCCTTTCACCCCTCCAACATTCCCCTCTTCTACTTCCCTTCCCCCTCAGACATCTCCCCCTCCCTCCATTTACCCTCCTTACATTCCCTCTCACTCCCTCTTTACTTCTCCCTTCTCTTTCCCTCTTCTCCTCACTTTGGTGTATCCATACAATTCAGTTTGTTTTTTACAAAAAAAGTAGAAAAAAAAAAAAAAAAAAAAAAAAAAAAAAAAAAAAAGAACCAGCAGTACACAAGTGAATTCTTATTGTTCTAA